AAATTTTTGGTCACACCCATTGTTTGGCCCTTAACCTTAACCTGGATATCTCTGGTACGAAAAGTCGCCTGGTCACAAATTCACAGGACGAAATCAGTAGCTATCATCATGGTTAAAGGTGGCGTAAAGCGATGTTATTGGCGGCTTTATTCACATTTAATCAGTTTGATTAAATTTAGTAAATGTACCTAAACTCTCCTTTCAGCATGCAGATTAAAGATTTTTCTGGAGGCTTTAAATGTCCAAATTATAGTATAATTATAGACGATTAAAGACGACCTATTAAAGAATGAGAAAAGTTTGTTTAAAGGGAATTAAAGGTTTCTAACTTGTCTTTAACTGCAAAGAGAAATGAGTTGTAAAGGTACCTTGAAGCTACATATACAAAGCTTTTCTGCTCTGGTATTTTACATCTTTAATCACATTTAATGTGGTGTTGAAATTGTAAAAAGGTGCATGTCTTTACTCAACTTTAAGCAAAGGTGTTTTGAATCTTTATTTTACCTTTAATATCATTTAATATGTGTTGAAATTGTGAAAAGGTACCTGTACATGCCTTTACTCAACTTTATGAAAAGGTGTTTTGTATCTTTATTTAACCTTTAATCACATTTAATGTGGTGTTGAAACTGTGAAAAGGTACATGTCTTTACTCAACTTTAAGCAAAGGTGTTTTGTATGTTTATTTAACCTTAAAACACATTTAATGTCGTACGAAAAGAACAGAAAAGAAACGTATATTGTCTATTTGATGTTTCCATTTGCCATTTAATTAAATACCTATAGTATTGTTTAACCATTAATGGTAAACATTAATGGTTAAACAAACTATTCAAAATCGCAAATGCAAATGTCAAATAATAATAGTTACAGTTAAGCCATGTTTTAGATATTTTCGTTAATAAATTGTACGTGCAGGTAAGATGATCAATAAAACAAAAGTAATGCCATTCATAGATCTCTGTGGCGTTTCCCAGATTTGAACGTAATAGCAAACAAGCTGCTCCAGTGGCGAGTTTATAATAGCAAAGCAGGAAGTAATGTCTCCAAAGACAAAAAAAATAAATTTCAGCACACATTTCACACATTTCTTCAATTTTATATTTACCATATAAATAACATACAAATCTGCCATGCAGAATAAATGCATATCGTATAAGTCTAACATTTCTATTTAAAATTTTGTATGAATCTGTTTAAGAAGCCATGCAGGTTCACAACAAATATATAAAGCACTCTTAATACATTAGAACATGGAAAACTTTGGGTTATATATCGTGGGTCTTTACTATACTGCAAAACTAAAGCAATCAGAGTCATGATCATTTAAAATGTCATTAACAGAGTCATTCAGCGAAGAGCCACTAGGGATAATGACTGGGCACTCTCATCAACAACATTATCATCCTCGTTCTTAGCTGCCCACTCCGGGAAGTCGTTTGGCTTAGGTCGAATGGAGGGCTGTCCATCCTCGCGAGGAACAATCCTGCTCCGTACCAGTTCTGACAAAGACAAGGTGTGGAGCCTGTCTAACTTTTTCTTTGCCCTTCGTATAGAAATGGACTCTCCCAGGGTAGCCTACGAACGTTGTAACGCATGATCCTTTTTGTTGTTTCGTCGACCTCGCTTTCTTCTGATGACATGTACAGTAGCCTGCCCTCATAACATCGAACACTCTTGCAGTTTTCTGGGCACCCCAATTTGCGTTTTCCACGTGCTTCAGCCTGCGTGCAAGTCTCTAAAGAAAGATACAAAATAATAACAAATAAGCTTGACACTACTACAAGTTCTTAGAAAACTTATAGTACAAATGTTGACTATTGAGTTCACACAGTACAATTTTGTATCAAATGTTGATTTGATGATTGGATGACATTGCCTGGATGACTTTTCCTTCCACCGTATGCGCGTTGTTCAGACTCTGAAAGTTCTTTAAATTCTTCTTCATAATCATTTTACATACTTTTCGTCGCAGGCGACATACAGTAAGTAATTTGGGGGGGGGGGTGTTAGGTAGACTGCTTATGCATGCCACAACTTTGCTCAGCAAGAAATCCGACTTTGGAAGCCTTACAGATTCATCCACGAGGTTATCGAGGCATTACAAGCAATGAGCATAAAAATGTCATTTACTGCATGTATTTAAATTTATACATTGCTCGGGGAGACAAAGCAAAAGGTAACTTTCAAATAGAGTGTCACAAATGTTACAAACACCCAAAGACGGATGTTTTAGATTGAGCAACCCCCTTGAAATGCAAAGCTAAATTAATGCCTATCAAAATTAAATGCAGTGTTATAAGTTCAAACCTCGTCCTTTATAAAATAATAAAAATTCAATCTTAAAAAATTGGTTATACTGTGTAAATTAATGCTAAAGCTGTTAACAGATCTTCAAAGTCTTTAATCCCTTGCTGTGTGTTAATGTTGGTGGAAAATTTAAACACGCAAAATAATTTGTTCTGGATGTTCACGAGAACTTGTACCAAATCATATGTAAAAACCGCGTAAACATTTTAAAGACCATGATGTTTGTGATGTTACTCTGAGTGTATATAATATCCACACCAAGCAAGCTTGAAAAAAATATGCCTGGCCACGGTGGGAATCGAACCTATGACCCTTGGAATACTAGCCCAATGCTCTGCCAACTGAGCTACACAGTCAGGTCGGTTCGAGTAATACTATGTGATTTTCGGAAATGAGCCTAGTTACTTTGATAACAATGCAATCTAATAATCATGATTTTTTCTGTGTTGGTGTAATGTATTCAGGTGAATATGATGCTTGTGATGTCACTCTGAGTGTATATCCACACCGGGTAAGCTTGAAAAATATGCCCGGCCTCGGTTGGAATCGAACCTAGATGACCCTTGGAATACTAGCTCAATGCTCTGCCAACTGAGCTACGCAGTCAAGTTGGTTCGAGTATGTGATATTTCAGAACTGAGTCTAGTTCTTTCGATATCAATGCAATCTAGTAATCATGATAGCTCAGTTGGCAAAGCATTGGTCATTCCAAGGTCGTACTGTAGCTTTGATTCCCACCCTGGCCAGGTCTATTTTTCAAACTTCCCCGGTGTGGTTATACACTCAGAGTATCATTGCACAAACATCATATTCACCTGAGTACATAACACCAACACAGAAAAAATCATTTCATTTTAAGGACCATTCTTTAAATACAGTGCACATGCAAAGGTTGTCACATGCAATAGTCAATTCTACAATCCAAAACGCAAATATTTTTGACAAAATGCAAGCAAATGCAGATAATATTGCTGACATGTGACATTTGACTACTGCAATACAGCATTGCTTGTGACAACATCATAAGAATTACAGTAGCTGCATATTATACTCTTTCTATACTATGCTCAAAAGTCTTTAATTAAATCAAATTTTGAGACATGTGCTATGTACAAGTACAGTACAATTGTCTAGCTTTAGTCATATATAGGACGATTCTCTGGTGTGAGCAAAACTAAAGTGATACCACTCTATAGACGTTGCCATGTTGGGAGTTTTGTGACCCCCCAACATATATCACCTGGTAATTAATATTGAAAAATTGACAGAGTAAAGTATGGTAAAGTGATTACCAGAATCCAGATACCACAGGAGTTACCGGTATAAGGTTTTATATTATGGGATATTCATATATTCATGTTCATGTAGTGTAACAACGTTAACAATTACTTTCAAAAGAAATCCCTCAGGCAGAACACAAATATATGAATATACACCCCCAATGATCAGTCTAGCTACGGGCCTAGCTGGCCTGCAAATACAAGTTAACTTGATATTTTCTGTGTTGGTGCAATGTACTCAGGTGAATAAGATGCTTGTGATGTTATTCTGAGTGTATATCCACACCGGGCAAGCTTGAAAAATATGCCTGACCACAGTGGGAATCGAACCTACGAACTTTGGAATGCTAGCCCAATGCTCTGCCAACTGAGCTATGCGGTTGTACTTGTTGGCTTGCACCAACACAGAAAATATCATTATTACTAGATTACATTGATATCGAAGGAACTAGATTCTGTTCCGAAATATCGCATACTCGAACCGACCAGACCGCGTAGCTCAGTTGGCAGAGCATTGTGCTAGCATTCCAAAGGTCGTAGGTTTGATTCCCACCGTGGTCAGGCATATTTTTCTTATTTTCTTATTTTCAGGCTTATTGTCATACATACAGTAGCAAAATTGAAACTGTCAAATTCCCCTAGGTATGCCTGTCCTCCCTGAGTCAGGCATAACACAACAGTGCAGATCAGAAATATATTGCGTAAACATAACTTGCACGTTTTGCCTGCCAAGGGCAAAGACAAGGGTTCTATAATATATATACAGTAAATGGGATTATACTGTAGTATTTTTAGCAGTGATTTGCATGTAATAAATTATTAACTATGACTGAGTTCAGCAATCTTTGAATATTTGGCGCAATTATTATATTTTTAGGAGCCTAAACTTTCATTAAATCAGAGCGTTCTATACCATTGAAATGACATGTAGATGTATACACAATTTATCAGATATAAGTACAAATGCTTACCCTGCATAGCTTTGGCAACGTGTCTCGCAGTTCTGTTTGACAAATTGTCCATTTTATCAACCTTCGTATCTTCGATGGACAACTTCGTCTCGTTTATAGTCGTCTTTAATATTAACTGTTCTCGTAAGAGCCTGTTCTCCTGGCCGACGTTTTGTAGTATATAAACAGGACATATTGGTCAGATAACGACACAGCCATATTTATATATTTACCATACGAGACTTGCTGAAGTTTAGCTCAGTAACTCAAATGCAGTACTTTGGGTGGACGAAAACCCTGTTTGTGAACCTTGAACGATAGTGACGGTTAAACCTCATCATAAAAATCCAAAATTGAGTGGGAATTAACGAAATATCTTCCGATTGGACAAGTATACATATACGCACAACGGGAATGCCATCCTGTTTGTCAAATAACTCAAATTACACGTATACTTTCGCGGGGTCTAAACTGGTTTCGACGAGCAACATCTGGCCAAAAATTCGCTCAGTAGAACACTAATATACCATCATCCGTAAAATTGACGTAACTTGCACAACTGCAGATAGAAATAACAGTTATGTTTGGTCAAAATTTTCCATTCCAGTACTGCAAAATATACAGCAAGCGAACAGACAATTGTTTGACCTGCCTGAGGGAGGGAGGGGAAGGTAATATTTGTGCAGCAATATGTAAACAAAGCGCGCGCGCGGGAATTTGCACTTGATCATCAGCAAGCAAGGACGGCAAGTCTCAAGAAATAATATGCTTTTTCTCTGTTTCGTCTGGTCGTATGAGCTTACGTAAAGTCGGTTGAAATGGCGCATTTTAACACGACATTCCACACAGCGAGTGGCGCACTTGCTAATGGTGGGATACGTCACGATCTGGGAGAAATCTCAGTGCAACCAGCGAGACAGAGCGAGCGTATACTTTCGAAGCTAGGTCGGCTTTCGAGGCCGAATACGATCGAGGAATTCGTCGTAAAAGACGAAAAATAATTAAACAAGAAAGAGCGAGAGAGATATACAGGGGATGTTTAAAAAAGAAAAAAGATCTGAGAGGGAAAGAAAAATGCAGGAGAGATTTATTTATATCGAGCACGAAAATAGCAAGAAAATAGAAACTAGTCGTTCGTGTACGTACACAAAGAGGGGAACGTGCTGTTGACTTCTGGCGACTGTGGAACAAAGAGAAAATGTTACGCAGTACGAGCAACATGTGAGTAAAATAGCATAAATTTATACATTCAAAACTAGTCAAAACTGTACTTCTCGTAATACCATCCGCATATTTTAAAGACTGTGTCCTATAAATACGTGCAAAGTATCGTAAAGTTCCTGAAACCCGAAGCTATTGTATATTATATATTTCGAATTTCCCAATTTAATACCCACACTGAAACAATTATAAGAGGGTCTAAATGGGGTTAACTGACAACTGACAAACGGCCTTAAAAATAACTGTTAACTGACAAATAACGATTTTTTTAACTGTTTACTGACAAGTAAAACTTTACTGTTAACTGACAATTGAAGTTTGATTGGACTTTTTTCCATACTTCGGTGACTCTTTGATCAGGAGCAAATTAGAAATCCGAATAAAAGATCGAATTAATCGCCATAAAACACATAAAATTCGTGAAAGTCAGAAAAACGACTAATTACCCAAACAGAATTTGGCAAGTTAATTATTAACTGTGTTTAACTGACACGCCAAAATATTAACTGATAGCTGACAAACAAGCTAAATTTTAACTGACAACTGACATGCACAACCCCCCATTCAGACCCTCTTATAACATGTAATACTACAGATATACTCGATAAATGTATAGTGTTCTATACTGAATTCTACAGATCCGCAGACGTAGGTAAACAATAATTGCATGTCTAGTGACTAGTGTTTCTA